AACGAGAGTAATTGATAGGTTAATTCCTTATGGGTTCGCTCTAGGCTAAATACTCAGGTTATATTTGCAACGTCCGCGTATCCTTTTTATAAGGCATAGTTGGGCGTGATCAAATTTTGGTACCGCCGTCGGGGACTTAACGGTGTTATCAATTACAATTGATAGAAATACAAAAAAAATTAGTGTAGTCAGTTTTCTCTATACCCAATCTTTACATTGAAATTTTAACGTTTGTTGACTTGGTTGTACAGATGCATTCCTAGAAACTCATCAAGAACTGGTGAAGTATTTGAAGCATTATCAGATCCCGAGAAAGTTTTCAAAGCCTTGAATCAGGCCAACCGGAAAAGCAAACAACAACAAACAACTGAACAATTCAAACCAGACATAGGGGATCACATAGTAGACCCAGCTATGCCGGTAGAGCTAGTGACACCTCTTGTGCCAGAGGCTGCGCTTTATGACTGGGCACAACCCACAGCGGAAAACTTAGCCATAGCGATTTTAGTCCCGTAGATACAGGCTGAATCATTTCAAATCACGAACAACATGTTGCACTTGTTGCAAAACAAGGGACTATTTTCGGGGTCACAAGTCGAAGATCCTCAACAACACTTGAAGAATTTTCTGTCAATCTGCAAAACTCAAAGGCAGCCCAACGTAACTCAGGAAGCAATCAAGCTGTTATTGTTTCCGTTCTCAGTGACAGAAGCTGCCCAGACCTGGCTAAACTCACTCCCCATTAATTCCATAACAACTTGGAAGGAGTTAGTCAAGCAATTAGTGAACAAGTTCCACCTACCCAACAAGACTGCTCAACAAATTGATGAAATTTTGAGTTTCAAACAGAGACCAATGGAGACACTGCATGAAACATGGGAATGATTCAAAGGGATGCTGGTTATATGTCCGCACCACGGTATTCCAGATATGATGTTGGGGCAGCGGTTTTACATGGGATTGTGAGATAGCGTGAAGGGTAATGTTGGTGCTTCAGCTGGTGAAGCATTTTTGAGCAAAACATAGAGAGAAGGCCAGAGTCTACTTGACAAGATGGCACAGAATTCGGGGTGGACAACCAGGAATGCATATATCACTCCAGTGGTTCACTCAGTGCCCTTAGATCCATCCAATACTCTTGCTAAAAACATGGCCACGTTAATGATACAGATGAGTATACTCACCAAAAAGGTGGAAGAGTCAGGGCAGAAGCAACAGGTATACATTGTAGATAATACCAATGGCGGCTTATGCACATCTTGCATTAGTCAGCCAATTGGTAACCAGTGGAATGCATAACATGATCATCATCACTATCCTGAAGACATGAATTATGTGTCTAATTATGGAGGCCAGAGACAGGGTGGTCAGAATTGGGGCCAGCAAAATCAGCCGTACAGGCCAGTCCAGCCACAGTTCAACAATGGAAACATGGGAGTGTGAGACCTCCTAATAACATGGCACCTTATCCAAGGCCACAGGGATATAATAATCAAAATCAGCAGCAGGGGTATCATCCTTCTCAGCAGCAACATAGTGGACGACAGGAAGATGGGTTTGCTAGACTTGAGGCAATAATGTAGCAGGTTATTGGGTCTAATGCAAAAATCAGTGAAAGATTAGATGCACATGATTCAGCTATCAAGAATATGAAGTGCAGATGGGCCAGATTTCGATGTCTCTAAACAATCGTCCTCATGGGACATTACCTGCAGATACCCAAATAAATCCAAAAGATCAAGGGCCGAAGCAGTTGATGGTAGTGAGTCTACGTAATGACATAGATTTGGACGTGGAGCAAGAGAGGGCTTGAGAAAGCAAACAAGCTGAGACACTCATACCAGTGCCCATTGAGCTAGATGAGTCAATGAAACTGATAGAAGTGCAGTCCAGCCTGCCCAGGAAGAACATAACATTCAGATTGAGACTGAGAAAGAAGCTGAGACAGCCTAGGAACAAGTAGTTGAGGTGGCAGCTGATAAAGAGCAATCCCAAATCATTGGGTAGAAGAGACCTCCCGCACCATTCCCTCAGAGGCTGGCCAAGTACCAAAAAGAGGAGCAATACAAGAAATTCTTGGAGATTCTGAAACAAATTCAGGTAAATATTCCATTGATAGATGCTTTGAAAGAGATGCCTGGTTATGCAAAAATAATGAAGGACTTAATGTCCCGAAAATTCGATTTCCAAGACTTGGCCACGGTGACTCTTACTCAAACCTGCAGTGCAGTGGTGACTAGACCAATTACTGACAAGCTATCTGACCCAGGGAGATTTACAATTCCCTACACTATTGGTAACTTCGCTTTCACCAAAGCACTTTGTGATTTAGGGGCTAGCATATTTCTTATTCCCTTAGCGATCTATAAGAGGTTGGGGATTGGAAGAGCTAGACCCACTTCTATGTTGTTGTAGCTGGCTGACAGGACCGTAAAAAGAACCTCTGGTATCCTGGATGATGTGTTGATTCAAGTAGGGAAATTTCTGTTCCCTGCAGATTTTGTAATTTTAGACTGTAAGGTGGATGAAGAAATTCCCATAGTTTTGGGAAGGCCGTTCTTGGCCACTAGGAGAGCTCTCATTGATTGTGAGACTAGGGAGCTCAAGATAAGATTGAATGATGAAGAGATAACATTCAATGTGCAAAAATCTATGAGGCGACCAAGTGAATTCGCCAATTGCTCTCTTATTGATGCCATGGATGTAATTGTAGAACCCGATGATGAGATTCTAACTATTGAGGACCCTCTTGCTGCATGTCTGATGAATTTAGATAAGGTGAATGGAGAAGAACTGACAGAATGGGTGTTGGCGTTAGAGGCCAGAGTGTTCTGGGATAGAACTCTTGAATTTGAGCCCTTGCACTTAGAAAATAGAGAAACTCCTCCAGCTAAGCCATCCATTGAAGAACCACCAAAGCTGGAATTGAAGCCACTGCCCGCCCATCTCAGGTATGAGTTCCTTGGACCTGACTCCACATTACCTGTTATTATCTCATCTAGTTTGTTAGATGTGCAGGCACAACAACTCTTGCAGGTACTCAGGGAGTGTAAGACTGTCATTGGGTGGACCATGGCAGACATTAAGGGGATCAGCCCCGCCTACTGTATGCATAAAATTCTGCTGGAAGAGGGACACAAACCTTCTAGCGAACATCAAAGAAGGCTGAACTCTAACATGAAGGAAGTGGTGAAGAAAGAAGTGATAAAGTGGTTAGATGCGGGAATCATTTTCCCAATATTTGATAGCAGCTGGGTCAGCCCGGTGCAATTTGTGCCTAAGAAGGGTGGCATGACGGTGATAAAAAACGATAATAATGAACTGATCTCAACACGAACCGTCACGGACTGGAGAATTTGCATGGACTACAGAAAGCTAAATCTAGCCACCTGGAAGGACCACTTCCCACTTCCCTTCATTGATCAGATGCTAGACAGATTGGCAGGGAGGTCACACTTCTGTTTTCTGGATGGGTACTCAGAGTAAAATCAAATCTCCATTGCACCAGAGGACAGAGAGAAGACATCTTTCACTTGTCCATATGGGATTTATGCTTTTCGAAGGATGCCCTTTGGCCTATGCAATGCACCCACCACATTTCAAAGGTGCATGATGACCATATTCACTGACATGGTAGAAGACATAATGGAGGTATTCATAGATGATTTCTCAGTGGTGGGAAACTCATTCGAGGATTGCCTTAGAAACCTCACTCGTGTGCTGAAACGGTGTATTGAGACTAACCTAGTTCTTAATTGGGAGAAGTGTCATTTCATGGTATAAGAGGGCATAGTCTTGGGACACTGAGTATCAAGTAAATGAATCGAGGTTGTTCGTGCTAAAGTGGATATGATAGCAAAGCCGCCACCTCTAACTTCAGTCAAGGCAATCAAGAGCTTCCTCGGGCATGCCAGTTTCTACCAGAGATTCATAAGAGACTTCTAAAAATAGCAAACCTCTCTGTAAGTTGTTAGAAAAAGATCACCCTTTCTTGTTCTCTGAAGATTGCAGGGTAGCACTCGAGGAGTTGAAAAAGAGGCTAGTCACAACACCCATCATTGTTGCCCCCGACTGGGAGCAACCTTTCGAACTCATGTGTGACGCTAGTGACTACGCGGTGGGGGCAGTGCTGGGACAGCGGAAAGACAAGATAATGCATCCAATCTACTATGCCAGTAGAACGCTGAGTGGAGCCCAGTTGAACTACACTATGATTGAAAAGGAGATGTTAGCTATGGTGTTTGCTTTCGACAAATTCAGATCATACTTGATTAGCTCTAAGGTAACTGTATACACTAATCATGTAGTTCTGAGGCACTTGATTGAGAAGAAGGAGTCTAAGTCGTGCCTGATTCGTTGGGTGTTGCTACTGCAAGAATTTGACCTCGAAATTTGTGATCGTAAGGGCATAAAAAGCCAAGTCGCTGACCATCTATCACTACTTGAGGAGATAAAAACTCAGTTGAGGTTGAGGATATTCTGGAAACCTTTCTAGACGAGCAGTTGCTCGCTACTAGTCTTGAGGAAGTGATATGGTATGCAGACTTTGCAAATTACCTGGTCAACGGTATAGTTCCCTATGACATTTCCTCTGTACAAAAGAAAAAGTTTTATCGTAACTGCCGCATGTATTATTGGGATAAACCTTACCTGTTTCGAATATGTGTGATAATATGATCCGGAGGTGCGTCCCCGAGATAGAACAATCTTCTGTTTTGCAGGCATGTCATGCGTCGGCATATGGAGGGCATTTTAGAGGAGTTAGGACAGTTGTGAAAGTGCTAGAGGCCGGTTTATTCTGGCCAACAGTGTTTAAAGATGCACACCAATGGGTGAAGGGCTGCAATGAATGTCAATGAACCGGGAACATTTCTCGTCGCCATGAGATGCCCATGAACCTGATTCAAGAGGTGGAAGTGTTTGATGTCTGTGGGATTGACTTCATGGGACCCGTCGTCAGCTCCTTTGGCAATATGTACATACTTGTTGCTGTGGATTACATGTCCAAATGGGTAGAAGCTGCAGCATTGCCCACTAATGATACAAGAGTGGTGGTGGAGTTTTTGAAGAAGAACATATTCACCCGTTTTGGGACCTCGAGAGCGATTATCAGTGACGGAGGCACCCACTTCTGTAATAGAGCCTTCGAGAAGTTGCTAGCAAAGTATGATGTACGCCACAAGGTGGCTACCCCTTATCACCCGCATACCAGTAGAAAGGTGGAAGTGTCTAATAGAGAGATAAAAAGTGTATTGACCAAGACTGTAAATGCCACAAGAACTGATTGGGCGAAAAAGCTAGATGGTGCACTCTAGGCTTATAGAACTGCTTTTAAAACATCAATTGGTATGTCACCATATAAGTTGGTGTTCGGGAAGGCCTGCCACTTGCCAATGGAACTTGAACATAAAGCTTGGTGGGCACTGAAACAACTGAACCTAGACATTGAGGCCGCGGGCACAACGAGAATCACTGAATTGCATGAGCTTGACGAGTTCCGACATCTTGTTTTTGAGAGCACAAGGTTGTAAAAGGAAAGAATGAAGAGGTTGCACGACCAAAACATTGTTGAGCGACATTTCAAACCCGGGGACATGGTATTGCTTTATAACTCAAGATTACGGATGTTCCCTGGTAAGCTTAAGTCACGATGGTCTGATCCATTTCGAGTGGTTGAAGTATTCCCTTCAGGGGCTGTAGAGATTGCCTCAGAGAAAGACTCTCACACATTTAGAGTGAATGTGCAGAGATTGAAGCTATACATAGGAATGAAAGAACCAAAAGAAGTGTCAGAAATCCACCTGACGGAACCTCAGAGGTCGAGCGAGCCTTAAATGCGCTTGTCTGCGTCATGCCGCGACGTTAAATCAGGTACTGCGTGGGAGGCAACCCACGAACATTGTTGTTAGTGTTTTCTTATGTAACTTCCTATAAAAAAAATTGGGCAGAACCGCAACCGCGACAAGACCGTGGTAGGACCGCGTGAGAGGCGAATATTTTGCCTCAACTTTGTCCAACCCACCGCGACCGCGGTGGGAACGCGGTAGAACCGTGGTGAAATGCGATGATTCTGCCTTTAGATCCTACTACACTGTTTCGGGCTATGTAACCCACCGCGGCCGCGGTGGGTACCAGGTAATTTTTTAAATTTTTTTTACCTTTTCTTTTTCTATTCTCCTTTTATTCCATAATTCTAACTCCCCCCCTTCTTTATTTCCCAAACATCCACCCCCTCCCCCTTCTTTATTTTCTAATTTCTCTCTCTCTCTCTAAACCCTAACTACCCAAATTCCTCTCCTCTTCTTCTTCTTCTTTTTCTTCTTCTTCTTCTTCTTCTTCTTCACTCATCCTATTTCCTCCATCTCCATTCCTCTTACTCCTTCGCCCATCTAGGTATGTAATTCCTCACCCCCTTAGCTTTTCTTGTGCATTTTGTTGTAGTTGTATGCTAGCCTAATGGTTGTAATTGTGTAGTGATTTTTTAGTAGATTTTTGTTAGTTTTCTTCTTGTTTTCTTTTGATTTTCGTTTTTGGGACTGACTGGTGAAGGGGTTGTGTATAATGTGGTGGAATAGTGTATGTTTGTGGGTGTTGAATGAAGTGTTGTGGGGTGTAATGGTGTAGTAGAATCTTTGATTTGGGGGGAGCTTAGATATCCATATGGGCTATATATATGAAGAAATTGTCTTGCCCACAAGGTGTTTGGGAAATTGCCCCAATGGATTTATAAGGGCTAATGTGACATGGTAGTGGTGAAGTCTGAGTACCCACCCATAGTCATACATTTCACACACTCACTGATAGGCATTACTCTGTTTGGCAAATACAATGAATCCATCTAGGAAGAGACGCAACACTGGGTCCTCCGCTAGTGGATCGG